CGCACACATTCAAACTCACACTCACATGCACATACACACACATTCTCCTGTCTATTGATGGGGAGCGCCACCTGCTGGAAACTGGGTCCAACGTCCCATGAACATCGYGAATAAAACACCAACCGGGACCCCACACACACTCTCTTCGAGTTGTGTATAGCGAACACAACAAAACATACATACAACATAATCACTACCTTACTCTTCCCGAGCCACATTAACAAAAGAACTACGGGCTGCGCACCCGTGCCCTCACGGCAAGTCGATGATTTCCCCGTACGTGAAACTGGGTACTGCTCCCAGCATTCCGCGTAGACTGTGAGTGCGAGGACCCCAGCCTCAACTGTTTCATGATAATTTGCAGCCCTTAGGCTGCGGTATAGTGGGTTTCCGTGTCTGTGTCAAGGTGTCGCATTTTTGGCGGCGGGCGACCAGGACGCAAAGTGGGTTCTTAGGGGGCAAAAACATTTGGGGGACCGGTCCTTGCTAAAATTGTGGACTACCTACAGCTAGGTATGGTAGAACCGGAACTTTTGGAAAAACAAAGGACCGGTCCTCGGGTAGAAGTGGACGCCCAAAAGAAGTGGGCGACGTTGGACCGGTCCTCGGGCAGAAGCGGACCCCCAAAAGAAGTAAGGGCATGTGAACTGCAAAAGGCCCCTCAGGCCCAGGCGTTGAGCCCCGTCTTCTCAAAACAGGGAAGTCAAGCACAACGAAACAGACGTTTTGCAAGAGGCAACTTTGACGATTTTCTGTGCTCAGACGAACATGCACAAAAATTTGAAATTTTGAGAATCCATAGATGAGGTCGTGTTCTTTCCAGAAATAATAATAGAACATTTACAAAAAATAATTTAGAATGCGAAATAATCGTCGCGCCGATTCAACACATTTTCTATTTTTGCCACTCAACCATGGCTGAGCCAACTAAAAAAGTACTCAAAATTCAGAGAGTTTTCGCGCTCAGAAGAATGAGTGAAAAAACCTGAAAATTGGGGCACTCGTAGATTTTGTTGTGATCTTTCCAGGAAAAAAACTAAAAAAAATTTAAAAAATCATTCCAACTACGAAATAGATTGCAGATGCAATTTGACCCATATTTATGGATGTGAAGAGAGACGAAGAGTGAGAGAGAGACAAATTGTGTGAGAGAGAAAGAAAGAGAGATAGAAAGAGAGGGCCCCCCATAAAAGAGAGAAAGAGAGAGAGAGAGAGAGAGAGAGAGAGAGAGAGAGAGAGAGAGAGAGAGAGAGAGAAAAAAAAAAAAAAAAAAAAAAAAGTTTTGTTTCATTTGTCGATATGAGTGAGAGAGAGAGACAAAAAGTATAATGGGTTTCCGCGACTGTGTCAAGGTGTCGCATTTTTGGCGGCGGGCGACCAGGACACAAAGTGGGTTCTTAGGGGGCAAAAAAAATTGGGGGACTGGTCCTTGCCAAAATTGCGGACTACCTACAGTTAACTCTGGTAGAACCGGGGCTTTTGAAAAAACGAAGGACAGGTCATCGGGTAGAAGTGGACCCCAAAAAGAAGTGGGGAGCGTTGGACCGGTCCTCGTGCAGAAGCGGATCCCAAAAAGAAGTGAGGGCATGTGAACTACAAAAGGGCCCTTAGGCCCAGGCGTTGAGCCCCGTCTTCTCAAAACAATGAGGTCAGGCACAACGAAACAGGCGTTTTGCAAGAGGCAATTCTCGTGATTTTATGTGTTCAGACGAACATGCACAAAAGTCTGAAATTTTGAGAATTCATAGATGAGGTCGTGTTCTTTCCAAAAATAATAACAGACTGCGAAATAATCATCGCGCCGATTCAACACATTTTCCATTTTTGCCACTCAGCCATGCCTGAGCCAACTAAAAAAATACTCCAAATTCAATGAGTTTTCGCGCGCAGAAGAATGCAATTTGACCCATATTTATGGGTGTGAAGAGCGACGAAGAGTGAGAGAGAGACAAAAAGTGAGAGAGAGAAAGAAAGAGAGATAGAGAGAGAGGGCACCCCCTAAGCGCGCGCGCACGAGAGAGAGAGAGAGAAAACAAAAAAAAAAAAAAAAAGTTTTGTTCCATTTGTTGATATGAGTGAGAGAGAGACAAAAAGTATAGTGGGCTTCCGCGTCTGTGTCAGGGTGTCGCATTTTTGGCGGCGGGCGACCAGGACGCAAAGTGGGTTTCTTAGGGGGCAAAAAAATTTGGGGGACCGGTCCTTGCCAAAATTGCGGACTACCTACAACTAGCTATAGTAGAACCGGGACTTTTGGAAAAATGAAGGACAGGTCCTCGGGTAGAAGTGGACCCCAAAAAGAAGTGGGGAGCGTTGGACCGGTCCTCGGGCCGAAGCGGACCGAAAAAGAAGTAAGGGCATGTGAACTGCAAAGGGCCCTCAGGCCCAGGCGTTGAGCCCCGTCTTCTCAAAACAAGGAGGTCAGACACAACGAAACAGACGTTTTGCAAGAGGCAACTTTGGCGATTTTCTGTGCTCAGACGAACATGCACAAAAGTCTGAAATTTTGAGAATTCATAGATGAGGTCGTGTTCTTTCCAGAAATAATAATAGAACATTTACAAAAAAAATAATTTAGACTGCGAAATAATCGTCGCGCTGATTCAGCACATTTTCCATTTTTGTCACTCAGCCATGCCTAAGCCAACTAAAAAAGTACTCCAAATTCAGTGAGTTTTCGCGCTCAGAAGAATGCGTGAGAAAACCTGAAAATTGGAGTACTCGTAGATTTTGTTGTGATATTTCCAGGAAAAAAACTAAATAAAATTTAAAAAATCATTCCAACTGCGAAATAGATTGCGGCCGCAATTTGACCCATATTTCAATTTTGCCATTCAGCCTCTCTCTCTCTCTCTCTCTCTCTCTCTCTCTCTCTTATCAACAAATGAAACTCTCTCTCCATCTCTCTCTCTCTCTCTCTCTCTCTCTCGTATCAACAAAAGAAACTCTCTCTCTCTCTCTCTCTCTCTCTCTCTCTCTCTCTCTCTCTCTCTCTAGTAGGCGCCCCCCCTCCCGCTCTCTCTATTTCTTTCTCTCTCTCACACTCATAACAATAAATGGAACAAAACTCTCTCTCTCTCTCTCTCTCTCTCTCTCTCTTGTGTTAGCTCTTAGTCTCATTGATTTGGCTACCTTAGGGCTGCCTTCCCCGCGCCCACGCGGTAGACAATATAGACCTTGGGCACTGGGGCCCTGATACAAATGAACAGAGTAATCCCAATTACCTGGGCCCGGTGTTCAAAGCACGTGGCCCGTCTGAAACAGCGCGTTGTACGGCTGTGACGGGGCACGGGAGGTCGACAGAAAAACATGAAACGAGAACGAGAAGGAAAACGAAAACGGCAAAACGAAAACGGCAACGCGAATGAACAGGAAACGAAATGTGACCGGTTTGGCCTGGAGCGCGGCCGAGGGCTTCCCTACTGTAGGTAGGTCTTTCCTATGGCGGTTCGCCGATTTTGGCTGAGGGCCTGATCACACACACAGCTAGACTGGACACCTTACTTAGATGTGTGACCCCTGTTTAATCGAACGGTCATTTTGATCCGCAGAAGCTACGGTGCGTGTGGCCCACATGGGCGCGTCACGGCCGTGAGTGCGAACAGGAGTTGCGTTGCGTGGGCGGGGGGGGGGTCGGGTCGGGGTCGAATCGCTAAGGAAAGGAACCTCCTCCTCTGTGCTTGCGAAGACGGAGGGGCCGCTTAGCGCTTGGACAGGCTAACCTATAGCTGTCACTGCCATGTTTGCCTACTCTCTAGAGGTGGTCGATTAATGATTGCAAGCTGTCGCGTGATACGCGGGCAGAGATACGTACAGCAGGGCAGGGATCGCGGATCTTCTTCCATCAGTGCTCGCCACTGGGTGTACGGTCAGCTTGTCGCCGGCAGGGAGGGCATCATATGCGCCTTGGTGTTGTTGCCTGCGGCGGGAAGAAGCTGGGACTGCGGGGAGAGAGAGGAGAAAGACGGGCGCTGAGGTCACAGCGTGGGTGTTGGTTGTCCTTCTCGCTTGCAGAGAGAGCTACCGGTAGTTGGAGGGAAGAAGCAAAGGGTTGTTGTCGTCGTCGTTTGGCTTGCGCGCGGAGGTGGGGAGGTGTAGAAGTGTGAAGGAGGGGAAGAGAGGAGGAGTAAAGGCGTGGGAGGAAGAAGGAAGTAGGAGAGCGAAGAAAGGAAGAAGAGAGAGAGAGAGCGAGAAGAGGGAAGAGAGAAGAAGAAGAGAAAGGGGGGAAAAGTAATCGGCTATGGCTAGCCGACGGATCACGAGGGAGCTACAGGACATCAAAAGAGATCCGCCATCGAATTGTAGTGCGGGGCCAGTCGGAGATGACCTCTTTCACTGGCAGGCTACCATCATGGGACCGTCGGACAGTCCTTATGAGGGAGGGGTTTTTTATGCTTCGATTCACTTCCCGCCGGATTACCCCTTCAAGCCGCCAAAAGTCAGTTTTCAAACGAAAGTTTATCATCCTAACATCAACGCCAACGGGTCAATCTGTCTCGACATTCTCAAGGAACAGTGGAGTCCCGCGCTGACGATTTCCAAGGTGTTGTTGTCGATCTGTTCCCTGCTTAGCGACCCTAACCCTGATGATCCTCTCGTGCCGGATATCGCGCAGATGTACAAAACCAACCGGGCCCAGTATGAACACACGGCACGGGGATGGACGCACAAGTACGCAATGGGAGGCTAGAGGAGGAGGAGCTCCTGTGTGTGCCGTCTCTACGGCGTCGGTGGTGGTAGGTAGAAAAGAGCTTTGGAGAGATAGGTTGGGTGGGGAGATTTGGTGTGGAAAGAGAGTTCTTGTGGGAGGAGAGAGACTTGGTTGAGACACACTTGGTGGGAGGAGAGACTTCGTTGAGACAGTTTGCGATACGTCGTTTGTCCTCGTCCATCCGTCGATTTACGCCAGGATGACACGTGGCGCGCGCGAACGAGAGAGAGGAGAGAATTCCCCTTTCGTCTGGCTTGTGGTAAGAATCAGCGATTTGAGAAGGAGGATGGGCCGTATGGACATGGATAGTGGGAATGGAGTAGCTGTCAGAGTGGGGTGTGTGTGTGTGTGTGTGTGTGAGAGAGAGAGAGAGAGAGAGAGAGAGAGAGAGAGAGAGAGAGAGAGAGAGAGAGAGAGAGAGAGGCTCCGATGATCGGAAAAACGGGAGCTGAGGTGGTGGCCATCGCAGAGATGGGTGACAGGTCTACTATGAGGCCTGTTGTGTTTGGACGAATGTGGGCGATTGATTCTCTGTTTATCGTTTTTTGTCGCTTTTTCGTTAGTTAGACAGCAGGGGTGGGGGGGGGGGGGGAGGAGGAGGGAGGATAGAGAGGTAGAGCTGGTGAGGGCGCGGGCGTAGGCGAGGGATCAGTGTGGCGCGGAGCAACGCGCCGAGCGCTGCTGCCGATGGCGGGAACTGACTGGTAAGCAAGAGAGAGGGTCGCTTGAGCGGTTTTGGACTACCGGTGGTCTTCCCCTTCGTCTCGCCTGCTTCGAAGCGCGAGCAAATGCAATGCAACAACTCTGACGCATGAGTGGAGTTGTGAATTGTGTGCGCTGTGGATAGATTGTTGATGAGGCCAAGCGTCGTTTGTGTATGTATGTGGGGGTATCTCAAGGCATCCCCTTCGACGACAAGCAGGGGGGGAGGCGGGCAGGTAATAGAGAGGAGGAAGAGAAGATCGAGAGAGAGAAGTGTTGGCTGGCTGGCGAAGAGAAGTTGTTCCCGGTTGGACTCCATCGATTATCGTATTATTTGTATATGAACTTCATTCGGTGGACTAGCAGCAGCTGTATTGTCGAAATCGACGGGCAAAAAAAGGGCTGTTGAAGAGGGGACTGTGCTTGTGAAGCTTGCCCTGATGGGCGGAGTGGGTATGATTACAGTGATTGGGGGTGAAAATTAGGAGGAAGACTTGGGCGTGGGTGGGGTGGGGGCAGAACTGGGTGGGTGGGATTCGCATGTCGTCGTCGTTTGTGTATCTGACCGAGCGTCTGTGTCGTTGATAGGTGTCAGTGATATACTAAAGCTCATTTCGCGCGTGTCCTATCTATCTTATAGATATATGAAGTAGCTGTCCTATCCTAGATATATGAATTAGTTGTGGTACATTGGTATATATACGTATATAGCGTGTTGATTTTCTGGAACGAGGATTTTGGTGAAGCCACAACAGCGGCCAGCAGTTGGTGAGCTAGCGGAAGCAAGAGGGTAAATGAATATAGGGGGTTCTGCGAATGTGAGTGCGGTGATGGAAACAGACTGAGAAAAGGTGGGAATACCAAAGTCCATCGGCGGCGTGAGGG